CTGGCCTTTTTTTCCCCAGAAGTAGACTGCATAACCACTAAACAAAAAAAAAAAAAAAAGTCGTAGAGTTGACGCTGAGGAATTTCCAGATCCAGAACTGCCTTCTGGATGATGTCTTTATGTTAATTATGTAGCTTTATTTATAAACTATACTAATGTTAATACTGTTATTTTAAAATGATTTAACAATTATTTAAAAAGAATAAAGCAACATTATTGAGGAGAAAGTAATAAGAAATAAGTCACACAGTTCTTCTACCCTAATACAGCAACTGTTTATCATTTTTATTGCTCCTTTCTTTTCATGCATATTTTTTAGTTATACTCTATGCAAATTTGTATCATACTTTTTTACTTTACATTATCATATATATTTCCATATTGATATAATCTTCATGTTTCATTCTTTTCTGTTTTAATAGTTGCATAATATTCCATAAAATGATTATACTATAATTTACTGAAGGTTGGACATTTTCACATTTTGATTGTAATATTTATATTTGGTTCTATGGCATTTTATTTGTGTAAATTAGTTTGTTTCTCTCTCCCTTGCTTGGACTAGATTCTTGGAAGTAGGATTATTGAGTCAAAGCATTTGTATGTTTTTATGGGCCTGGGTATATGTACTGCCAGATTGCTTTTGCTGTGTGAGTAAGTGGGTGAAGAATGGTCCCAGGAAAAGGAACAGCCTATGCAGAGGCCCTGTGGCAGGCACATATCTAGCATGTACCAATTTGGAATGACACCAGAAGCGTTTGAGAGGAATTAGGTTTACTATATCTACAATAACATTTTTTTAGGAGTACTAATTTAGTAAATAAAAGATACTACCTCGTTTTAATTTGCATTGCTTAGCAAAGTTGAACAATTTTATATGTTTATCTATTTGTACTTCCCATTTTGTGAATTATCTAGCCATATCCTTTACCCCTTTATTGGAATCTCTGGCCATTTCTTATATTTAGATAAAAATATCTCATATGAATTTATATTGGCACATTGTCATATTTGCTTTTGTTAGTTTCAGTGTAGTTTCATATCCAACATATTTAATTGTATTCGAATTGAAATTGGTAAGTTGTATCTGGTAAAATGGCACTCTTTTAACCAGTATTTTCCTTCTCCCTAATCTGCCTGATCGTGAGATTCACTGGAATTATGAATAAGCTTATAAACAATGCTAATGAAGTAGTTAATTTCTTGCGCAGTTTAGTGTGAGTAAACTTTGATGGCAATCTTGTTTTATTAATAGAATAGAGAAAGGTGATTGAAAGCTCTATCTCTAGAGTTAGCCTTAATAATTTTATATCATACTTGCTACCTTACTTAAAATTTTATATTCTTGGGATACAATTCCTTGTCTGGAATATCTGGAAAGTTTAGTAGCATCAACAGTCTTTTCTATTCTGATTTTAAATTTTCAGGAGTATAGCAATAAGCATGTTGATGTTTCTTTCCAGTGAGAAGCAATTAGAGTGTTTGCTGACCCACTGCATTAAGGTGCCAATGCTCATCCTGGATCCAGCCCTGCCAGCCAACATCACACTAAAGGACCTGCCATCTCTCCATCCTTCCTTTCATTCTGCCAGTGACATATTCAATGTTGCCAAACCAAAAAACCCCTCCACTAATGTCTCAGTTGTCGTTTTTGACAGCTCTAAGGATGGTAAGCTGTTTTTACTGGTATTTTTGAAATCCCGTTATCATTGGATGTTTGAATAACAAAATTCTGAATGAAATGGAAATGATTCAGTTTTCAAGAAATGCCACCAAAGTTGAGAAACTAAAAACATACAGAGAGAAGCAGAAGAGCTGCCATTGTATTTCAGCCCTGTCCTCGGAAAGAGAATGCGTGTGCGTGGGTTTTGTTCTGTGTGATACACATATCTTTCTGTGCCATGGCGAGGATCTTAAATCTGGCACTCACAGCTACCTCATTCTTTTGGCTCTGAGTTATTCTTGAGGCTTATTTTTTCTACCATATAACTCCTTAGCAAGGTTGTTTGCTTCAGCTTACATGTCATGTTCCCCTTACAATATTGAGTCCTTTTCTCAGTTTCCCATTTTGTCAGTGTCATATCCCTTAGCTTAAATCTTTGGACCCATCTTCCACTCGTTCTTACTTCTTACCTCCATAACTAATAACTAACTTCATATATTGTTGGCTTTTGTTTTTGCAAATGATTCTTACCCTTCTTACTCATCTCACAACCTTTACACCAGACTGAATTCCCTCACGTAGCCTCCAGTAATAGGCTCCTAGCTGCTCTGGCTGCCTGTAAAATTCTCCTCCAGTCTGTTTCACACACAACTGTCAAAGAAATCTGAAAATTCTGATTTCATTGATTCATTCTCTTTCTGAAGAGAATAATATAGTAGTCTGTATTTGCTTTTCACATAGGTCTGAACTCATCTTTGATTGCCTTGATTTTGCCCATTGATACTTGCACCCCTGTCTTCCCACCCATCACATTGCAGCTATCAGTGTCTTCACACATATGTGTGGCTAGAATGGAATTGATGGGAAGTGGCAGGAAATGAATCCAGAGAAGTAATGGGGGGACCAAATGGTGTAGGCCATGGTAGCCATGACAAGGACTTTGGCTTCAACTTGGGAGTATGATGAGGAGTTGCTGGAGGGTTTTGAGTAGAGGAGCAATGTGATCTGACTTATGTTCTGAAAAGATCAGGCTGGCTGCTGTGGTGGGAATAGACCATAAGGGGCTGAAGTTGTAATTTAGGCAAGGAGAAGGTGGCTTGGATCAGGGAGGTACAGTGAAGGTGGTGAGAAGTGGTTGGATTCTGGATATTTTGAAGGTCAGCTCAACAGGGTTTCCTGACGGGTCAGATGTGGAGGAGCATCCAACTTTCTTGTTCTAAGTACCGAGCTTTTGTTTAAAAGTACGACCATACTATGGAAATACGGTACACCTTTCCCTCACTTATCAACTCTCTCATTATCCGACATTTTGCATTTACAACAATAGTAAAAAAAATCTACTGTCCAGCTATTTGGCCCATTAATGACTTACGTCTGGCAGTAACAAATGCTAAGGTATGAGGTGAGAGTAACTCTGGCTGTGATAATTAAGGTTATATGTGTCAGCTTGGCTGGGCCATGATTTTCAGTAGTTTGGCAGTTATTAATGATATAATTTGGCAGTTATGTATAATGTAGTTATCGTGCATTTCGTGATCTGATGTGGTCATCCTCCATTTTTGCATAACGCTGATTTTCGCGTAATGATCTGGTCTTTGGAACCTAACCATGTTGATGAGTGAGGAGTGGATGTACAGCCACAGCACATTGTAGACTCATACTAAACTTACTGTCAACTAAAACTCCTCTTTTTTTTTTTTTTTTAATTTATGCCTATAGGGTCACTATGAATCAGATTCGAATCGATGGCAACAAGTTTGGTTATGAGTTTTAATGCACAAACACTGCTTTTAATTTATGCATGTATAGTTGGTTTTTTGGTGCTAAGTTAAAGATCTTACCTTTGTTTGTAGGAGATTTTATTTTGCTAGATTTGACTCATTGCTCCAAAGAGTCAAAAATTTTGGGAATCCTTCATTAGTTATTCAGGGTAATAACTTCTCTGTCACCTTTGTATGAACTCACAAATTTCACAAGGATGCCTTCTATATCTCCCAAATCCTTGATAACCAAAAAAAAACAAAACAAACCTGTTGCCGTCAAGTCGATTCCGACTCATAGCAACTCTGTAGGACAGAGTAGAACTGCCCCATAGGGATTCCAGTGTGTGGCTGGTGGATTCAAACTGCCGCTCTTTTTGGTTAGCGGCCAGACTTTTAACCACTGTGTCACCAGGGCTCCCCAAATCCTTGAGAGGAGGGTTCAGAAAGACAGATCTATGACAAACCTCTAGGTAGAGGTAGATTGTGGCTTTATAATTCAACACTCTCTGTAGGTAATCAACACTCTCCAGGCAGCCATGGTTAGGTTATATTCCACCTAAATGAACATTCTGCCCATATGTCTCTGCTTTGTCCATGAGGATGACGTGAGGTATTGTTAGCTACCTTGCTGAGACTGTGTGTGTGTGTGTGTGTGTGAGTGTGTGTGTGTGTGTGTGTGAGTGAGTGAGTGAGTGAGTGTGTGTGTGTGTGTGTGTATGTGTGTGAGATCTGTTAGATTTCTCTGATCTACCAGGCTTTTGTTAGTTGCTTTCAAGTCAGCTCCAGCTCATAGCCACCTTATGCCTAACAGAATGAAACGTTGCCCATCTTCATGATAGTTGCTATGTTTGAGTCCATTGTTTTGGGCATTGTGTCAGTCCATCTCACTGAGGTCTTCCCTCATCTTCTTTACCAATGATGATGTCTTTTTCCAGCAATTGGTCTTTCCTGGTGATATGTCCAATGTAAATGATCTGAAGTCTCGCCATACTCGCATCTAGGGATCATTCTAATTGTATTTCTTTTAAGACTGATTTGTTTGTTCTCACAGTCCATGGTATAATCGTATTCTTTGCCAACATCACAATTCAAATGCATCAATCTTCCTCTGTCCTCCTATTCATTCACATGTATATGGAGCAATTGAAAAGGCCCTGGCTGGGGTCAGGCGCACCTTAGTCATCAAAATAACAGCTTTGCTTTTTAAAACGTTTGAAGAAGTGTACAGAGCTAGAACCCACCATATCAAAAGAGAGGTGTATCTGGTGAATTTATTTGCAGTGAACTCATACTCTTGGTGCTCAGTGCTCCCTTTAGAGATAAACAATAAATTGCAAAGCCTTTCTTTTCTCCAGTGCTCACCAACTATACTTTTATGGTGCATGTGAAACTCTTGCCCAGGATTACTAACCATCTTGCCAGGCTATAGTTTTTAGAACCTATTTTCTTTGCCCATTTTGAAGATCACAATTGCAGCCTTCTGACCTCTCTCCTGTTTTCCACAACCCCTGAATGTCAGCAGCAAGTTTGGTGATATGGCTTGTCCTGATCACTTTAGAGTGCTCTCCCAGTTGTGCTGCATACCCTCCTCTCTCCCGCATTTAATCTACTCTGTTATCATTACCTGATGAACCTTAGGAGACCATTGTCTTTGTGACTCTTAAAGGACCGTAAGATCTACAGTGACTCCCTGCTGTTAATTTAAATGCCTCTTCCTGGCTTCCAAGGCCCCCTTTGCCTGGTTATCCTTTTTCCTCCTACTCACCGCTCCCAAATGTTTTACTGTAGTCAAACTTTTTTTTTTTTTTTTTAAACTTTCTCATCGCAAGCATATCCGTGTTTGTTCTTACATCCGTGATTTCCATCATTCTGTCATTTCCTCCTTTGAGATCCAGCTCAAATATAACTGCTTCTACAAAGCATTCAACATGTCTGCTGCCCACATAAATGTCTCACTCAGTATTTGCAGAGTTTAACATTTAATTGTTCGTTGATGTCCTTGTTTCCCTTTTGTTGTATGTGTTCATTTTGTCTCCTCCAACTACCTTTTTTTGGGACTGTATATTGTACTACTTTAATATCTCTCAAAATGCTTTATGCAATATCCTGCCAGACATTGTAGTTAAGTATTCATTAAAAATATGGTTGTTTATTGTATTCTTTAATTTTGTATTTTGTAATTATTGTGTTTTGTAGTTGAAGATGCCCATGCTGGAATGTTTAAAGCAGACAGCAAACAGACGGTTTGGAGGGGCTATTTGGTATGTTATTTTAAATTTAATTGCAGTTTTGCAGTACAGTGGAATAAAAGGATGGGTAGTTACTAATATAATAACTATACTATAATAATGTTTTACTTCAAGAGGTTTTTTAATGTTCACTTGTTCTCTAAGGCTAGCTTGCTGATATTAATGAGTGTTGATTTAAGTAATCTTGACATTCTTATTTTGAAGCTTGTATAATGCAATAGATCTTTATTACTTCTCCTAACTGTATGTTTTCACCAGCTACACGATGTGGAAGGTGAGTTGTGGTTATTTTCCCCCCTTGTTTCAGACAACAGATAAAGAAGTCCCTGGGTTAGTGCTAATGCAAGATTTGGCTTTCCTCAGTGGATTTCCACCGACATTCAAGGAAACAAATCAACTAAAAACAAAATTGCCAGAAAATCTTTCTTCTAAAATAAAACTGGTAAGAACATAGCGAATAGAGCAGTCAGTATAACCTGTCTCATTTAATGTGTGCCCCTTCATTTTGTTCCAAGTACAGCCAACAATCATAAGAAACAAAGAGAGTCTTTATTCTGCCCCATTAAGTTGTCATAAAGGCAACTATTTATTTATAGGAGATCCTTATTTGGGGCAAAATTCAATTTTAGGCAAAGTTTTAAGAGTCTTATTTGGTTTACTGGTTTCTCAGATAGAAGCAGGACTCATTTGCTTAACAAATGAGCTCCTATGTATTACCTGTTGCCATCCATCAAGACGATTACGACTCATAGCCACCTTATGGGAGAGAGTAGAACTGCTCCATAGAGTTTCCAAGGAGTGGCTGGTGGATTCGAACTGCCGACCTTTTGGTTAGCAGCTGAGTTTTTAACCACTGCGCCACCAGGGCTCCTCCTGTGTATTAGGTGCTGTTATTAGACTTGCTGGGGATACATCAGTGGACATGGAACTTACAAGGAAGTGAAAGCATGGAAAGGGAGGGGATGGAAGAAAATCACATATGTAGTAAGTATACACACACTCCAACATGTATGTTTATAAAATGTTTTCACTCAAAGGGAGTACACTTACAAATAACTTCAGATATTTGGAAAGTTTGTTAACGTAAAACCCTCATTAATAGCTTGTTGAGGTATTAACGTATTTAGAATTTATACTTATTAACTCTTTAGGCTTGACCATTGATGCCATTTGTTAGGGTTGACTTTAGATTGGAGGCTGGCCCGTGACTTGCCTTTTTACTTTACCCTTATTGTTTTCAAAGCCATTTGCCTGACTGATTTAGAGCACAGTCCATGTAGGTGTACTGTCTACTTGACATTATGTCAAGGTGCCTGCTCTTCTGTCAGAAATATTCGGGTCGTAAAACATGAATATCGTTTCTCTTAGAGTAGGGGGCATTAAGTTAGTTGTAAACCAGTTAGACTCTTGTTTCTTGATTCTACAAAGAAATGTTCTTTAAGTTCTGCCATTGAACTTAGCTTTGTTGAGACCTGACCGATGTGTTTATTTTAAACATGACTCTTACTTCCTTCTCCTGTTGCACACTACTTAACAATTTGGAGCGTGAAAGAGTAGAGATGGAGGTAGTGGTGGGAGAGAGCAGTGACTGGGGCATTCATAGTTAATTTTGTTTTGACTGAGTTTTTTTATCCCTACCCCCGCCCCCAAATTCCCTTTGTTTGTTTTCCTCCGTAAGTTTTAAGATATATTGTATTGCCATTATAATTCAATGATGGTGTGAGTCATAATTGTGTTTTTTTCATATTTTCCCCTATAACTTTCTTGGTGGTACCTAGAAATTGGTAGTGCTCAGCTAGGTTAGGGTTGAATTTGTTTTTAATCTACAGTTATTTAAAAATAGATATTCTACCACTCCTTCCCCCGAGTTATTTTCAGTACGATTTGGGCAGATAAAATCCTAGATTAGCATTCATTTCAGCCAGTGTATGAGTTGGAATCAACTCGACGACAATGGGTTTTGTTTTGTTTTTTTTTTTTTTTGGTTTGGCTTCCTACTTAATAGTTCCAGAATTATAGACATGCCAAAGCATGCCAACCCCAAGCAATGTTTGATCCTTCAGCAAACTTTTGGGTGGCATGGTATGGCCTGTGGAGGCAGAGGTAGGGTGGGTAGCTCCTTCAGCTGGATTTAAGGAGCACCAGCAGGCTCCATGCATGCTAATAACCCCTTGCACATTTCATCCAGTCAGTTGGAGGTTTATTTGGATTCACAAGCTTGTCTTTATGGAGCCCAGCACCTCCTTAGAGGGTCAAACTAATCATTCATAGCATTCATTGCCATTTGTTTTCATGATTCCATCACCTTTGATCAGCTTCAGGGACTAGGGCTTCAGATTTTTGGAGGCTAGAGAGAAAATGAGAGAGAGATAGAACAGAGGAGGAGTGTGTTTACATTAGAGTCCAGTTCTTCAAGTGCTTTCTTTCCTTAGGCTCTACTTCCTGGTTTTATTATGAGTAGTCTGAGATGAAGTTTCCTATGGTTGGGTTCCCAGTCGATTTAGCGAGTGAGCATTTATTAAATGCCTGCTGTGTGCCAGGGGCTGTGCTAGGGATAAGCACTTCTCCTGTGTGATCAGCTCCAAATAGAAGTTTATACTAAGTGGTGTGAGACAATTTGGGCCTTAGGTGTATTGGGAGCCAAGGAAGGCTTTGCAGAATGGAAGCATTTTATCTGGGCCTTGAATAGAGCAGCCGTTCTCCCAGCAGAGAAGGGAGTGGGAAAGAGCATACCAAGCAGAGGGAACAGCCCGAGCAAAGGACTAGAGGCTTGAAAGTAAATGGTGTTTTCAGGGAACCAAGGGCACTGTTCTTCCAGGCTAGAGCACAGACTGGGATTTTGCTGGTGATGAGATGGGGAAGGAACATAGATCAGGGTTTTGTATGCTATGTTGAGGAACCTAGACTTTATCTTGGATGCCGGGAGAGTCTTTAGCAGGAGGACAACATGATCTGATCTGTTTCTAAGGCACATTGTAGGGGAAGGTGTAGCAGTTAGACCTAGGTTAGACAAGAGGAGGCTTGAAAACCAGTTCAGCTACTGTTGTCATAACTCAGCAAGACATTTGGGTTTCAAGGAGTGCCTTGGCAGTGGAATGCAAGTGATGGGAACGGTTCCAGAAACATCTGAGAGTGACGCTCAACATAGTTCAGTTAGAGGAGAGGGAAGGAAGAATGAGGGAGTAAGAGGATGTTTCAGTGAAAATGGAAGTGATGGCATTAACCACACTCACAGCTTCAGTGGGAGAAGCAAGTATTTGGGGAAGGAAACCCAGAGCTCATTGACATGTGTTGCATTAGGGGTGCTTTGTGGTGTGTGGGAGGAAAGGGCCGTTAGGTGTTGGAGTTCAGGACCTAAACAGCTGAACCATTCCCTCCTCTCAGACTCCTCTGGGAAGCCTTTGCCAAGGCTTGTGTGCTCCCATCCCCCCATCCCCCTGCTACCCATCCCCACCCCTGAGCCACCCAGGGCCCAGTTCTGCTCCAGAGATGCTCTCTGGGCTGCGAGCTTCTCAAAACAGCCACTGCCCTGTTCACCTTTGTACCCTGTTCACCTTTGTAGTGATTATGTTGGGGCCAGGCACTTGAGGGATGCTCAGCGAATTTTGGTCCTCCCTTGCAGTGACTTCCCTGCAACCATCTCATATGCCTGCTCTTTTAAAGTGTAGCACCCTTTCTTTTGGTTTTATTTCTAAAAAAGTGGATAGAACAAGCAACTGTGGACTGATTTAAGTTTTAGAAAACCACCAGGACATATTAAGACTCCGTAGCCTTGAGTTGGAAACCCTGGTAAGTGCTACGGCTGCTAACCAAAAGGTCAGCAGTCCGAATCCACCGGGCGCTCCTTGGAAATTCTGTGGGGCAGTTCTGCCCTGTCCTGTAGGGTCACTATGAGTCAGAATCAACTCGACGGCAGTGGGTTTGTTGGCTTGTTTGTTTTTTAAGCCTTCAGGTGTCAAGTCACTAAACCAAAAAAAGCTAAACCAGCTGCCGCTGAATCAGCTCTGGCTCACGGTGACCCCTTGTGTTGAAGAGTAGAAGTGCTCTGTAGGGCTTTCAAGGCTGTGACCTTTCAGAAGCAGATTGCCAGGCCATTCTTCTGAGGTGCTGCTGGGGGGGTTTGAACTGCCAGCCTTTCTCGATTAGTGGTTGAACTCTTAACCATTTGCACCACCTAGGGACTCCTGTGAAGTCACTAGAAGGAGCTAATTTGTTTTTCAGTTGGTATTAGCAGACATGCTTTTTCTCTAAAGGATGCTTAATAACTTTGAATCAAATTGATCCAAAATGAAAAATAGATCTTCTGAATTTTTGAGCACTTTAAAGATGTTGGGAATATAACTTTTTACAGGAAAGCCTTTGTCATCATTTTAGATATGCATGTTCTAGAACAGATTTTCACAATCTCTACACTACTGACATTTTGGGCCAGATAGTACTTGCTTTAGGGGACTGTCCTGTGCATTGTAGGATGTTTAGCAGCATCCCAGTTCTCTATCCTCTAGATGCCAGTAGCACCCTACCCTCTTTGGGACAACCTAAAATGTCTCTAGACATTGCTAAACATTCCCTGGGGGGCAAAATCACCCCTGATTGAAAAGCACTGTCCTAGAAATAGTATTTTCATGTACATATGGTTAAACAGCTTAGCACAGCCTTTCTTGGTTTTTAAAAATGACCAGTTTGATATCATTATTTTAAATTAAAGTTTGCCTTGAAAGGGTAATTTTTCTTCTGCAAACCTCTCACTTTTAGTTGACTTAAAGTCATGCATTCGAAGTTGTATTTTGTTAGCTATTATTATATACTATGACTTGGTCAGTATAATTCTGAGTTTAGGTTTGTGAATGAATGTCCCCATGACTGTTTTCTCTTCCCTGCCTTATTTCATGTACTATACAAAATGTAAATATTAACTTCCGTTCTAATATATACAAACAGTATCTAGTAGTTCAGCTATTAAGAATAAACTCCTTGAGCTCTGGTTTCCATTTCTGTCACTACACTGAAACAACTCTCATTAAGGTCTTTATTGACCTGCTAATTATCAAACCCACTGGTTTCTTGTCCCTTAATTTTGATGCCTGTTATTTATCTTTAGTATTTGATAGAATTAACATTCTCTTTGTGAAACCCTTTTTTCTCCCTGGTTTCTGCAGCAGTCCTGATTAGCATTTGTATTGTCTTTCACTGACTAAAATTCTTCCATATGTTGCTCATTTATTATAGTTTACCCAGGTCCTGTCCTTGGCCACCACTTTGTTCTACATCTCTCTTCCTTGTCCCATCCTACCACATATAGGTGTATCAGGTTATTCTAGGTAATGCTGCTGTAACAAACATCCCAAAACCTCAGTGGCTTAAAATTAACAAAGCTTTATTTCTCAGTGATGCTACATGCCTGTTGCTGGCCTGCAGGGGGGGTAAGTATAGAAGTGTCAA